ACACACACACACACACAGAGCTGTGCATACATCAATGCGGAGGTCTGTACATACCTGCATTTGCCCAGCCTGCCCGGCAGAGTTCCGGAGTTCAGGGTTGAGTTTGTTTAGGGTTCCCAGCAGGCCCCTCCTTCTCAGCGGCATGGCTCGAGCGCTGCCGGGTTGCGGCTCAGCGGCGGGCAACGACGCAAGGGGCAGCGCCATGGCCTCAGGGCCCTTCTCGTACCACTTACGGTGCCCCTTATAGTAACCCTTTCAGAGAGGAGCCTTTCCAGGAGGCGTTGCAAGCAAGGGCTCTCTGTCTCTCTCTCTCTCTCCCTTTGGGTTGTTTTGCTTGGGGTTTGGTGATCTGGCTGGGGTCCATGAGGCTTCTGTGGCAGTTGAGATGTTTCCCGAGCCTATCATCGCACGACTTCATGCCGCTGTGCATTAAGCTGATTATTCTCCCATCTATTCACCTGTGCTTCCTTCACTGTGGGAAGCGTTCCAGCATGTTCTAGTAAAATTCTAGTAATCCGTTCCAAGTGTAGGGCTTATCGACCAGGCTGTTTTGCACTTAGGAATCAGGTAGCTGCAATGACACTGCGCATGGCTGGCTGGTAGCCGGATGGTGTCAACATCCTCAACTCTCAAATGCTCGCGGAAGAGACAGGGACGGAGGGAGGGAGCGAGAGAGGGAGAGAGATCAGAGCGCCTGGTGCAGCTGAGGTCATCCCGGTTGCACAGCTCTGTCTCGGAAGAGGCAGCTTCGGGTGCTGTTGTGAAACTTCAAAAAAGAGTGCTCCGAATGCAACCGCAGCAACTTGTTCGTGCCTTAGTACTCTACAAACTTATCTGCCCAAGCCCAGTGTCAAAAGAAGTAGTTGTACCATCCTATACCCCCGAAATAGATCTCTATTCTGCGTTCTTGAGGGCCCCTTACAGCAGCCATGTACCCTGGCTTCTTCTTCTTCTTTTTGTGGAGAGTGCTTGCTCGGAATTTGTGACGAGTGGGTTTTGTGTGACTGAGCATTCACTTCTCGTGGATTCTGAATCCTTCAGCCCTGCAAGGGCCAAATCTCTAAATCCCATACCTGAAGCCACAGCAGCCATGAGCTCTAAACTCCGAATGCTCTTTCCTAAACCCTGTTCACCTTCAACTCGTACCGCCCCAACATCTGTACTCCAAATTCAGAGCCTTTTCTGGGCCCAGCGCGGTCAGGTGCGGAGGTGTCTCCGGTCTGAGCCTGTTGTGGCCCTGGCCTCGGCCCGGTGATGAAGAGGGCCTTTCTAGGCAGCTCGTAGGGCTTTTGCGGTATATGTATAGACATTATTCGATATTGTATGTTATTTATTGGGCCTCTAGGGCTTTCAGGGTTGTTCCAAACGCGGCCTGTGCAAGGCGTTGCGTGGGGTTTCGACTAGTTCCTTGCAAGCTGTCAAGTGTTAGACTGGGTTGCTGTGATACAGCCCTCAGGATCGCTATTTAGAACCCTTCCGTATCCGGACAACCTGCAGAAGCACTGTAGTAGCGATGTTTTGTGTTGTTCTTGCTGCGGTGACATGAGTCGTTTGCACGGCAATCGACATTGTATCAATTAGTCATGAATCTTGGCACAGACTGCAATGTTCCTCGTTTTGACAGTTGTCACAATCCTTACAATATTCATGCCGTTCGTTCTAGTGTGATTAGGAATATCAAAACAGGAAATAATCGTATCTATCACGATAGCTGAGATCCCTGCCGACCAGCATTTACAAGCTGCAACGCTTGGCACCGTTATTGAAAATATGGTCTATGCCGTTGTTACTGCAAATACGGCGGCCACAATATTACCCAGGTGTGAGACGCGTGACTAGAACTGGAAAGGCTCTGTGTGAAGCGCAGTATTTGGCATTGAGCATTGCTCCATGTATTCATGTCGACAACAGCATCTGCCGGAAGAGCAGTACTGCGGCATTCTTTACACGGTCGTACTTATTGTCACCCTCTATGCGATGAGAGTCTTAGTCCTGTCAACAAATGCGAAGGACGACAATAGTGGCGAGCAGTTTTGTAAGCTTACTCCATCGTGATATCCAGCTGTCAGACTAACGCAGTACAGTTGTTTGAGTTCTAAACTCCGCAAGGCCACGCGGCTAAAACTCTTCAACAACCTTTGGACAGAAGCTTTCTTCTGAATCGTAGTCAACACCCGCCATCAGCAAGATCAAGATCAGGAACAGGATCACGGCCAGGGTCATGATATCAGCATCATGAGCAGGACCCTTCTCATTCTCATCTCTAAACCCTAAACCCTAAACCCTAAACCCTAAACCCTAAAGCGCTCCGCTCCTCCAAGGATGAGTTGGTCGTCGAGCAGTGCCTGGCCGTGGACATCGCCCTTCCGGGCCGGCGACTGGCCATCGAGGCCGGTTTATTACTATTGTTATTATTATTATTACTACTATTGTTGTTATTATTATTACTATTGTTATTATTATTATTGCTATTATTATTGTTATTATTGCTATTATTATTATAGCTTCCGAGTTCCGAGTAACTTTATACGGATCAGAAATCAGGTTGAGCCTTCAAGGAGAGTTGCTCGGAGTCACAGCTCAGCTGACAGGTTTCAGCCCAGGTTTCTGGTACCGCGGTCATGAATCAAGCCCAAGACTCTTGTAATCCTGAAACCCTAAACCCTAAACCCTAAACCCTAAACCCTCACCGAAGTCTGCTGCAAGCCTCCGGCTTCCCAGTTCAGGCTCCAGGCTCGGGCTGTAGCTACAATTCTGCGTGCCAGGGCTCCTACTCGTAGTCCTGACAGGTGGATGGACCTGTGCATTTTGCCCGGGACGTGGAGAGCCATGCGCTCAGATTTCTCCATGTGCTAAGACGAGCAAACGCCGACAGCCTCATTCTCAGGGTCTTCTGAAACTAGGTCGGGAGGCCGGAGATGGGTACTACTGTTATTATATATTATTATTATTATTGTTATTATTATGATGATTGTTATTATTGTTATTATTGTTATTATTGATATTATTGTTATTATCGTTACTATTATTATATTAGTATTATTACTTCTACGAAGCCATCAGCCTTTTCTGTGAGGCGAGGCGCTCTCGCTCTTGGGGCCCTCCAGGCTGAAGCGACGGCTGCTGACACATCTGGGGTGGCAGGTGCGGTGCTCGGGAGTAGGTTTAGGGTTTAGGGTTTAGGGTTGTAGGTAGCATTATTACGGGTACCCCTCAAAGGGTACCCCTTCTGAACCCTACTATTGGCTCTCTTAAAAGGGACCTTATTGAGAGGGTCTATATCCCCAAGGGTCCTCCCTAACCCCGGGAGGGGCGAGAGGAGTGCAGTGTTGGACATGGCTGTAGAGGCATAGTGCTTGCTGGGTTTGTCTACAAGTCTACAATCCTTTCCTTAAGTACACAGTGAAGGCAATGCTGACGCATTTAATTCTCAGGACAGTTTGAGTTCGGCTTCTGTAGTAGCGTCGCCAGGAGTGCAAGCTTCGCATGGTGGAATAACATCTTGATCTCCACCCCATGCAGGACTTCACAGACGGGTCCCATGGCTTAAGCCTTAAGCCCGAGAGCCCACCGGCCTAACTCAAAACTCCGACATTTGCTTCGTGAGAAGAAGCCCCGAAAAAAGCCCTGAAGCCTCAGGTGGTTTCTGTGGAGTGGCGCGACTGGGATGGCTTGGACCGGGCTGGGCGCCGAAGCCTCGTGGTCCCTTGGCTCCAAAATGGCCCTAGAAGCCCAAAGCTTCGAGCGAGCCGTGAGCGGCCTTGGTTATGAGCGGCCTTGGTTGCGGGCAAATCCTACTGAAAGTCGTCAAGCCATTGAGCGAGATAGCGACAAAGAGGCAGAGAGGGAGGGTGAGAGAGAGAGAGAGAGAGCGACGGTGCTTGTGGTTTTCGTTTCAGGTTCTTCAGATCCCAGTAGGATTTCAGCCGCTTCATGTGTTGGAGCTTGTTTTGGATAGCCACCATCGGACTCATTCCATGTCTCAAGGCAGCTTTTTGGCTTCCGTTTCGAGAGCTCAGGAGGATACTGCGGCAGGATTTCGTTTGCGTTCAAGGCTGCACTTGCCAAAGCTGGTGTCAGTAGGAGAGTGATCATTGCACCGCGGTCCCGGAACCTTCCTGCCCTGAGCCTCATATCTCCGGAATCCCCAGCTCGAGGTTTGCAGATGTTTTATGATTTGTTTGGTTCCGACACCCCGAACATCAAGCCTCGACTCCATGGGATTCAAGAAGAAAGAAGACCCGACTTCTTGCGCCATTCGAGGAGAACCTGCTCCGTCCAGGCCATTCCCTTCTTCACTCGCATGCTTTTTGCTGGTGTATTTTTTTTTTGGGCTTTTGCGATCCACGGTGACTCTTTCTGTTTTTGGGGTATGGCCGGGCGGGTCTTCATTCCCGAGCCCAGCCAGCTCAGTGATCATTGACTGCTACTGTAATCGTAGAATCAGACGATACGGCACTTTAGGGGGCCGAGGCCGCTGATGTTGAGCTTCATATCCTCTGAGACACAGCCCTCCGACTCCAGAAGGCCCCGAATCCGAAAGCCACAACTCCAAGCCGCCCTGGCCCGCAGGCGTTTCGGCCTCAAGGAGGCCGTTCGCTCCAAGAGAAAAAGGAGAGCTGTTGGCGCAGGGAGTCCTAGGCAGAATCCACGATGCTTCTTGGAAGGTGGTTTAATGCAGAATAAGAGAGATCACACCATGTGCTTCCACGGCTTCGGGCTTCGAAGTGTAGATGGACTTATGCGGTAGGAGAGGCTTTCTTCAGCATCCTCCAGACGTCTTGTGTTCTGCGGCCTAGTGGTAGTTCTACGATGCAGCCTTCATCCCGTCGTAGCAGCACGCATGTGAAGTTGATGCAGATTAGGTGGGCCGGCTACCTGGCTTGCTGCTGACATGTCCTCTTCGCACGGATGGCAAGTGATCATCATGGCCACGATCAAAGTTTCGGCTCGAAGTCAGAGCTTCTCACATGCATGGTAAAGGCGGAGCCAGGTCATCCAAGACCTTCCGGCTGCATGCATGGCCTGCACTGTTAGAGGCATTAGGTACTACTTAAAGACCAAAAATTCGTTTGCGCTTTGAAAAGTCCATTTCACAGGGCTTCTAGCCTCAAGGGTCCGTACTTGGGTAGCAGGGGTTCTGTAAAGATCCGAAGAGGCGCAGTTGTCTAGACCGATGATTCTAAGGCCATTAAGTTGCAGCTACATGTGCTCGCTTCGCACAGGACTTGAGTCCCCCGAACCTCTTCCTCTCCACCCAGGGCACAGCCGTTTTCCACGAACCCTCCCGGGAGAGTTGAGACGCGAGATGGACGAGAAGTACCAGCGCATTAAGGCCCTGCAAAGCGCAGAAGCTGAAGATTGGCTCCAGATTTGTAGGAGCTGCGCCGATGATAGTGATTCTGTTCAGCGGCAGGGCAATTCTCCCGTAGGCTGTTTGAATCAAAACTGTCGCACTTAACAGTTCAGACTGTCGAACTGGACCGAAACATGGACTGCGCATCTGTCTGGCTATCTCCCTCGCTAGTTTACTGTTTGGGTACCTATCTATCCTGTATCTATCCACTTCATGAACTGGCTACTCAGCAATCTGTTTCCTTATCTGCCTATCTTGTACACACGTAATTCATCAGTATCTACATGCATGCGCCATGCGTGTTTACATGTATGTCTTTGATGAGGGGCTCACTCGCTGCATGTACGCATGCATCTGTGTGGACATGTGCAGACTGGCTCATGTATGTATGTATGTATGTATGTATGTTTGTTTGTATGTATGTAGGTAGGTAGGTAGGTAGGTAGGTAGGTAAGAAGGTAGGTAGGTA